ATATGGTGACTGAAATAATTTTTTGGCATGATATATATTGTTGTTGTTAGAAGCTGTCAAGTCACATCAGATTCATAGCAACCCTGTGTACAACAGAACAAAACACTGCCCAGTCCTGCACAATCCTCACAATCCCTGCTATGCCTGAGTCCATCATTGCAGCCACTGTGTCAGTCCATCTCATTAAGGATCTTCTCTCAAATTTGGGTGATATATATGTTATCTATATTGATGAGGGTTATAGTCTCACAAATGTGTACATATAGGAAAACTGATCACACTGAACATTTCAGGTATGTATAACTTATTGTTGTGATAGTTAAAGTTGTGTGTCAGCTTGGCTGGACCATGATTTTAAATGGTTCAAGCAGTTGTGATGTAGTCATCCCCATGATGAGAGCTGATGTAATGTAATCACCTCCATGATGAGATGGACTAGGAGCAGCTGTTCAGTTGAAAGAGTTTTCTCAGGGCTGTTGCCTGCTTTATATGTATAAATGTGTGTGCGTGTGTGTGTGTATTTATATATATAACCAAACTCACTGCCCTTGAATTGGATCCGACTCATGGCTACCCCTCTTTGGGTTTCCGAGGTGGTGCCCAAACTTCCTTCCAAGAAGTGGCTGGTGGGTTTGAACTGCCAGCCTTCTGGTTAGCAATCCAATGCCATAGGTGCTTCATCACCAGAGGGCCTCAAAATCTCTGGTTGTTGGAGTTGAATCAGTAGCCTTTCATACTGGCCACTGATCTTTGGATTGTAGCCTTTGCAGCCGATGAGCCAACAATCTGCCATTTTACCTGCTGATCTTGGATTCGTCATCTGCTGAAGTTAGCAGCCTACTACACTGCCTGCTGATCTTGGGTTCATCAGCCTCTGCAGATACATGAGTCAGAAGAAGTATCAGGTTGACATTTGATCCATGGATTTGAAACTTACCAGCTTCTACAACTGTATGAGTCATTTCCTTGAGATAAATTTCTCTTATCTCTCTCCCTCTCTCCAAGCTTCACTGGTTTTGCTTCTTTAGAGAACCCAGCATAATACAATTACTGATCCATTATACCTCAACAAAACTATCAAAAAATAAACAAATAATGGCCAAAAGCCTTAAACAGTCACTACGTAGAAGAATATTGTACAAATAACTTCAAATATAAGAATCAGCACAAAGCCAATGACTATGAGGTGGCAGTCAAATATATCCCAAATTTCCATATTCTCCAAGCTTCTGTATCACTCCATCCCTGACACCAGCCAGTCTCCCTTCCTTTAGCCCTTTACCCTCCCCCATTCGGGTTTGGCAATTCACTGCAATGTCTCACAGAACCCACAAATTATTATTATGACAAACTGGTTTATTAAGGAAGTAACAAGGTGTAGCTTGAAATAAGAATCCAAAGGCTACAATTTAGGATAAGGATCAGGAAGCATGTAAGCAAAGTATCCCTTCTTCAGTGCAAGGCAGCTCTGTCAGCTGTGCAGGTCTCTTCTTGTCTCCCTGAGGACAGGCTCCTCTTGGCCTTGCCATCTGTCACTACTGACTCTGCAGGGTCCTTCCAGGCCTGTTACCTTGAGCTCTGCTCCTGGGCCCCTTCTGGACCTCTCACTGTCTTCAGTGCTATGCTCTTGACCCATGTTACTGTTCTTTTAGGAGGTTCCTTCCTCCTCTTTCTCTCTCTGCTTCTGCTCTCTTCTCCTTTCTTCCTTCTTCTGCTTCCTGCTTCTTCTCTTTTTGCTTCTTTGTATCTGAAAAACGTCTGTGGGGCTGATACACACACACACACACACACACACACAACTCCTTGTGAATCGCAAGGCATAGCCTCTCCTAGTGGGAGACCACACACTGACCAATCTGCTCTCAGTAGGCTAGAAACTCTTTCCATAGTAGACTACAGAAATATCATTTGCATAGTCTATTGACCAATCCCTGCAAGGTTCATACTAATCATAGTGTAGGCTGCAGCTGAAGACCAGTTAAAAAAGTATCAAACCACAAGTTGTTTACAACTTACCCAAGAAAGGTCAATCAAACTGGACAAAAGTAACAACCCCTCTAGGGTAGTAAACTAGGGCAAAGGTAACTCCTCAGTGTTTAGGGGGAAAAAAAAATCTCTCAAGCTGTTTTTCAAAAAAAACAAAACAAAAATCCACATAAGGGAACTCATTTCATAACAAACATATATTTTAAAAAAAAATGTTAATGTGGGAAAAGTTTCATTGTCCATTGTGAAACCAAAAAAAAAAATCTCAATGCCATCCAGTCAATTTGAACTCATAGCGACTCCTCCTTGGGTTAATGAGGCTATATCTCTGTGGAAATACATTGCCCAGTCTTTCTTCCAAGGAGTGGATGGTGGGTTTGAACTGCCAGACTTCTGGTTAGCAGGTATTTGGCCTACACCACCAGAGCTCCTTCATTATCCATTAAGGAAGTAGAAATTAAAGTATTATTACAAACAGACATATACCACCCAGAATGTCTTTAGAATAAAATAATTGCCAATACCATGTGTTGGAGAAGAAATGGAGCAACAGAAACTCACATAAACTACTGGTGAGAGTGTACATTTTCCCAGGCAGCATCTATCAGAACTGAATGTATGCAGGCCTATGACTTAGAAATTCAACTCCTAGGCAAGTACTCAAGGGAAATGAGGACACATGTTCATCAGAGACATCAACAAAAATGTTCATAGCAGTTTTATTTATAATAGTCAAAAAGGGGAAATGTCATAAATGTCCACCAACATTAGAATGAATAAGCAAATGTGTTATATTCTTATGAATTCTATATAACAATACAAAATGAACAACTAACTAACACCCACACACAAAAATGTGACAAGGTCTAATAGACGTGGTGCTCAGTGGTAAAAACCATAAACAACATCTAGATTAAGCTTATAGTCATATAGATTCCCAGAACAGGCAAAAATTACATTATGTTGTTTAGAAATAAGAATTGTGCTTCTCTTAGAACTTGTTTTCTTGGAGCAAAAGAGTTAGTATGAGAGTACAACCTGTATGAGGCAGTTATTTTGGTACTAGAAATAATTCATATTTCAATTTGGTGGTGATTGCCTGGGTGTAGACTCAGGTGAGATAGATATATTTTATGTATATTTTCTCTCAATTAAAAGAAAAAGTAAGAGATAAACTGTAATGAATGAAATATTTGATCTAGACAAGGTGATCAATGAAAACAATTACATGACAATATTTTATTATATGGAGCAAGTATACAGAAGAGAAATTCCAGATAGCAGCAGGAGGATGGGAGCTCTTGGAAGGATATCTTCAAAGAGAACAAAGTGATACAAAGGGATCATATAATATGATTGAGAATATTTAGAAACCCAAGCAATGAAAGTAATAATTAAAGGAAAAGAAGGAGAAAAATTTAATAAAAGACTTCCACTCAGTTAGTAATAATGTTGTAACTAATAATATAATTCAATGTAGAAAGATTTTACAAAATAGTTTTCTTGTTAGTGTCCACATAATCTAAGAGATATTACATTAAAGCAATTTACAACTATATTTATATACATATTATGCTATGGTCAAAACTGATAATAACCAATAAGGATTCTGTATGGTCTGCTATGGGAGGAGGTGGATGAAGGAGAGGTGATCCCATGAGTTACTGCCCTGGATGACACCAACCCTAGTGATGCCACTACACTTGAAACATGAAACTTGATTTTCATTATATGCCTCTGTATGCTATTGTGGCTTTTAGTTTAAGTAAAAGTACATACTTTTTGAAAACACATAAACAACAAATCCAGAAGATTTTAAATATCCAGAAAGTGCAATGCCTGAGTTCTCAAATCAGAGTTAAAGCATTTTAAAACCTGCATGTTTCATCATACAACTTAATGTGCATTTTTCCTAAGTGAATCTTCATACAAGTATGTGAAGAGTTCTAGACTATAGTCACATTTTATTTATATTTAGAACAATAAAATTTAATAGGCTTTTTCCTCTTCTTGGTTCTTTGTATATTGAGATCAATTACTGAACGTTAATTGTTTTCATTTAACTGAAACATAGAGCTATAAAGCAAATAGCAATGTCAATCCAAATTTATTCAGATGCATATGCAGCAGTCATAAAAAGGAATTGACTTCAGTATCGGATCTCATCGTTATCTCTATCCTTTCTTTGATTCTCTCAAAAAATTCTCAAAAAATCATTTGATGTGCTCATTAAAAAATGCACTATGTAGTATGTAACACAAGAGTTTTAGGAAAATAGTTTTTTGATTGAGTTGAGAATAAGATCTTCAACGCACATGTAAATGACTCTTTTCCAGGTAGGTAAGCATAAAGCAAGAAAGGGGCACCCTACACTTGGATTCCCCTTAAAAATCTGGAAGCAATCACATTGTAAATACATATTCCAAAGTAATCGCCAAAGATTTCCAATTGTTCCTCAGAATTTAGAGTATTGAGAAAAGAGACAAAATTTATTTTGCTCTGAAGCTGGATGATGCAATTAAA